CACTATATTTTCTCGTTTACATTTTTTCCACTGACCTCTCCAATAGTTATACTTTAGATGAAGCTGGTAAAGTGAAACGTCCTCGAGTTCAACAGGCCGAATCTAGTATTTTTGTAAAGGAGATTGTACTGTTCGCCCGACTTCACCATTGGCCATAAAACTTACTTCATCACCATTTCCTGTTCCACAAATCCACTGATGAGTTTGTTTGTTAAGGTTCAAAGTAACAAACTGGTGGCTAGAATGATATAATGGAATGCCAAGAAGCAGATGACACATTTTCTGAGCTGAAATATTGCACTCAGCAACCGTCTGAAGCAATAAGCTTTGGAAGACTGACAGGGATAAAGTATCAGGAGTACTATTATTGAGAATCTTATTCAATATTTCCGTAAATGTTGCAGATCGTGGTTCTGAATTGCTCACGTATTTGGATACATATTGTAAAGCAGTCTTCATGCTGAGAATCGACTTTAAATCAATGTTCGCACGCCAACTTTGAAGCTGTAATCAATCATGTAGATTGACATATGGATCGTTTCTCACCATCATTAGCTCGAATTGTCCATTCTCCTCACGTAGGTATGTATCATTCGTAATATCTTTCGGATAGCTAAATTTGCAAATTTGTTTACCTGCGCGATCTACACGAAGACAATATAAAGAATTACATCTAGTATGGCATTGTAGTTTGTTAACTAGCTCAATGTAATCTTGTAGGTCATCGTGTAATTCTTCAGGACATTTCTAACATGGATAGCGATCAGGCACAGGTGCGTCAAGACCGGGATTGATTGTGGTAACTAATGAATCTAAATATCATATCACGTTACTTATCATGTCTTCATTCTCTTTCATTTTTTTCCAATCAATAACTGGAGCATCCTTCCTTTTTCCAATACCATGTACATGTGTACTTTCGCGGTGTTACCATTCGAACCTGTACCAATAATCTTCAAGTTTCTATTTAGGTACTAACACATTTTCTAAAAACAATTTAAAGCGTTTTTCAAAAAACTACGAAGTGATGTGAAGATTATCAATCAAGTCTTGGCGCTTATATCTATTCTCATCCTATTCTGTTAAAGAACTCTCACCATGCGGCATGAGGTTGTGTAATTCAGGCCAATGTAGGTCAGCAGTACTGAAAGTGAAAAATACCATACCCTGAGACCCTAACTGTCTAATCATGTTAGCAAGCTCAAATCTTCTTCTAATCCAAAATTGCTGGGTTCCACGCAATACTTTACCAAATCATACGATTCTATCCGCCATATGACTATCATTTTCCACCATGTTTCGTACTTCTTCAACAGTATATTGTTTATCATTCAGAATTTGCTTAATGTACACTTTGCCTTCCTGCAATGCTCTCCATCGCATTTGTGAATTTAGCGCAAAATATCTCCAACGAGGATGACGAGCGAACCTTCTATCTTTATACTTTAATAAATGTGAAAAATATTTGGCGGGCTTGATCTCTCTAACATGATCTGAACGAAGATTAGCATTTTCATATGGATATAGAGTCAGAAAGGCACATGCGATGTATCTGGGAATTTGAAATTCGTTAATAGGTTCCCATTTATATTCGGCCACATAATAGAAGGTTCATTATCTTGCATTCTATTAAAAGTGTTATTAATAGCACATTCTTCATTAGGACACAGAAGAGGAGCGGGAATAAAGTTACTCCCTATTATTTCTTGGATCCATTGTCGTCATCATTAAAAACATTTTCTGAATCTTCAATTCGCAGAAAGTGATCACCTATTGAACCATTTTCAGGTAAGGATAGCAATACTTCTTCATTGATTACAATATCTCCATAATAACGGTTATTTTGTTTAACCAATACAATGCACGAGTAACCTTAGTATAATAAACGGTAAATTTCTAAATGTCAATCCGTTTGCAAACTGACATTGCACAACAAGTACATCAAGAGATGAAGGATTCCTGGGTAGCTGTGTTGCAAACTCTACCATGTTTTGTGAGAAATTGATAACATTTCTATGGTATGCATACTGGCCATCACGAAGACAATATACCGAAACAATAGGAAAAACACGTGCAATTAACATTTCCTCTATTTAAGTAAGGTCTCGTAGTTCGTCTGGGACATCACCTGGATCCATGTTGTTAGCAGCAGAAAATTTTTTCAATGGATTTTTATCAAAGTGACAACGACGACATTCTCCTTCCCGTTCAAGTTTGATGGAAGGGAAACATTCTTTACATGTTAGACAAAAATTATTCGTAAAGCTATTAATCTCTGAACGAAAGTTTTGTAAAAGTTTTCAGTCTGATTTAGAAAGATAGCATTCATCAGGATCTTGGATCCGAGTTTCATCCTGTTGTCTATCATCAGTATCTTGGAATAAAGTTTCATCGTTTTGTCTATTGAGTCACTCATTAACATTCCTTAAGACATGGGTTTCTTTTTTTCTATGGTATCGTTTACGGTTCTTTCTCAATCGTAATTCACGCTATTCTGTAGTTTTAACAGCTCTTTTCGCACGTTTATTCTTTCTATCACATGCACGATGAATTTCACATTGATTAGAATTCTCTTTCACCCTAGTTTTTCGTTTTCGCAATGTATCATGAAGTGGTTTTGTATTCATTTTATTTAAAATCTTTTAAGCGTTTAATATCAGCGAACGTATAATGTGATTTGTAACTAACGATTATT